GCTGCAATGAAAATGGGAGTGGAGATATCTCTGTACTGTTTTTCATAGTGGCTGCCAGTTAGCATCCCACCAACAGCACACAAGAGTCCCCATTTTTCACACACCCTTGCTAATACTTGCTATCTTTTAATTTTCAAGAATGGCTGTCCAAACAGGTGTCAGGCGATAGCTCATTGCATTTCCCTGATGGTTAGTAATACCAAGCATGCACCTCTTGGACCACATAGGCCACTATCTTTAAGGGGAAATTCCCAGTAAGGAAAAGTAGACATAAACAGGGACAAGTAGCACACTACAATGGAGAAGTCCCCTCATATTACAGGAGCTCAGAAGACAGGACCACTAGCTGTGCTTGGGGAATCTGAGGAAGGATTTACAGAGCTGACACGTGAGTCCGGACTTAAAAAATAATTGTGTACTTGTCTGGTGGTTAAAGGATATTCACGAAGAAGTGGAAACCGTATATTTATGGCACTATTTGGGAGGTGATAAAGGCTTGTTATAGTCGGCTCACCATCTGTGTGCAAGGAAGTAGTGGAAGATGAGGTTAGAGAATTCGGATCGGCCAGGAACAGACCTGGAAGTCCTTGCCAGGCATCCCAAAGATATTGGTTTTTTCACACCAGGTGATTGGGGAGCAACTGAAAGACTTCCAGTTGGGGGCAACATGGTCGAAATTTTATTTTGGACCAATTACTCCAGCACATCTACGGGGAGGAGTCAAAGATGGGCAGACATTGACACCAGGAGGCTGGTGTTAGACCTGTCACAAAGATTCAGGGGGAGAGTGATGGCAGTCAGGCAGTGGGGAGGGAGCGCAGGCAGGAGGATACAGACAGGGAAGGAACCCGTGCTGTGGGAGAGAGGGAGAGAGAGGAGTCTCTCAGGATTTTGTCCTGGTGAGTGGGAGGCAATGAATCCTGCTCTGGGATGGGAAATCTGGAAAAGCAGCAAATACTGGTGTCGGGAGGGGTATTTAGTTCCAAATAGACTGAGCTTGGGATGCCTTCAAGATATTTGAGACACAGTTGAAAATATGTACCTAGGCTAATATTTCTACTTACCTTGTCTGTGATGAGCAAACGTGGGCTTTATACCCAGAGCTTTATCCTGTACGACCAAACATTGAGAATTCCCCAAACCAATTAAGCATTTCCCAGTGCTGAAGTAATACTGATGTTTACACTTCTTCCTCTAAATTACTCCCCCCTGCAGCTGGTGATGCATGTAAGCTGTGGAGATGAGAGAGGGGATTGGACAATTGTAGAATTTTGTTGTGGTTTCATCCATGATAGTGGATTCGGGATGCTCAGTGTTACAAAGTCTGCTGTGCATGTTGACTGCACTGGAATAGATTCGTGCCACATCCCCTTTTCTGACGATGTTTGTCCATCTTGAAGTCAGGAAATAGGTTAGGGCTTCATGAGCTAGGCTGGACCCTGACTTCATGATATTACCCTGAGCACACCAGGGAAGCTGCAGACAATCACTTTCTTGAGCCACAGCATTGTAAGATTCCAAGTAGGAAGTTCGTCTGTTCATTCTTCATTGTACTTGGTGGTAGGGGAGGCAGAGCGGGACCTGGTTCTGTTTGGGGATGACTCCCTCTTCCTTCGACCTCCCGTGGCATCTATACCTTGGCTCATGTTTGTATGAAAGGCCCCAAGCAATCAAAAGTAACAAAAGTGTTGAGCACATCTGGGACCCCCGTGTCTAGAAGACTGACAGATTTCTCCTCTTCCTAGGGAGAACTGGAAGAGGAGGAAGATGTTCTTTAGAAGGTAGGGCTGCCTGCAGTACTGCTGAGTCTTAAAGAACAAGGCTGCTGTTTCTTCCTCAGCCAGGAGCAACGTCAGTGAGAGAAAGGCAAAAGAAAAAAAAGCAAAAACTTCAGAAACACCCTGGCATGTCAGCAGGTGGTGGGAAATAGGAGTGAGCTGGACAGTGCTTCAAAGGAAAAGAAAGAATTTCAAACAGAAAGTCACAGCACAGTCTCCTCCTGGTTCCTGCCAGCATGCAAGCTGAATAGAAGTTTTTGCTGAACCAGAGCACATACAGCTTTGCACGTACATTCCCAGAAATTTTTAGTAGCTTGGAGGTTCCGGAAGCAAAATTGCAGACTTCTTTTCTATCTGCTGACTTAGTAATGAAGGCTTTGTGCTTCCAGCCCTGCAACTTTCAGACCACAGAGAGTGCAGAAGCAAAGCCTGTGGCCGTTTTTCTGACTTTTCTAAGTGAAAGAAAAGTATAATCAAGGAGCAGTCATTCAGGAACCACTCTCACCTCCAGGGAAAGACAGGTGGCCTGGACTTCCAGGCCTGGACTTCATCAGGAAGTTGTTTTCTTTGGATATAGTCCCAAGGTTTGGAACTTACAAAAAGGACAAGAGATGTCATCCTTCGTATGGTGTGGTTAACCATGCCTGTTGGCACCACCCTGTGAAGTAGGCACGGTTGGAGCTGAAAACCCCCATTTTACAGGTGTACATGATCAGGCCATGAGAAGCACCAGAGAAGTGGTGTGACTGACTCAAGGTCACACAGCTAGGATTGGCCAAGGATCCTGACTCCCTGACTCTTTGTTCAGATACTTAAAAATGTGCAGTGAGCATTTATGGTGTGTAAGAAATTAGGGACACAGAGGCAGCCCTCTCTGTACCCCAGTGGAATATGGATAACGCTGAGCATGGCAGTGGAGGGGAAAGACCTTGGGAGGCGGACCCCAGCTAACAAGTGCTCTGCTCGACACCAGCTTCACCACAACCTGGTTCTTAAAAATATATATATCCCGTCAACTCTAAGCTTTGCTATCCAAATAGGCAAAATTGGGATATAACCCTTGCTTCAGAAGAGTCCAGTAAATATCTTTACAGGATTCTTTGTAAAGATGGATTGGCTTATAAACTGTGCCAGAATTCTCAGAAAAGAGGTGAAGACCCCAGTAACTCTATTTATGACAGAAGAATACAGATCCTTTTAAGAGAAATATATTTATCCTCAGAATTAAAACAAATTTCCCTGGTAAGTGAGAGCTTTTCCTTCCCATAGGACCAGGGCTGTCTGTTAATTAAGTTTACTGGCTGTCTGGTCATCCGGCTTCAGCCAACACAATTTGGGGGTTGGTGGGGAGAGAGAAGCATTCTGGACAGCCACGTCACTGGCAGAAGAAAATGTCCCAAGTCACAAGAATAAATCGCCTCCTAATTAGGAAATAATTATGCCCCCAAATGGGGCTACATGGATGTAAAGGCATCTCACAAATTGCCGATTAGTTTCATAGCCGCGATGGCATTTAGTGCCACTTCAGTTAATGGAAAATGTGTCGGAAATGGCCCATTTTAGCTGCTCCAGAAAAGAGAAGTGGGTGGGGGTGAGGAGAAGCTCAGATGACAGGGGACTAGGCAGAAGAAAAGAGAAACGTGGGACCTTTGTCTTGGAGAAGATGCCGCAACGTAAGAGTTGGGGACACGGAGTTGTAGAGTCTGGATTTGAGGGCTCCTCCTTCCTCCACGTATCAGTCAGCGATCTGGCCCAGTTGCTTCTATCTCTCGGTCACAGTCTCCTCATCTGTTAAATGGGAGTCATTAAGAAATAGTTGGATAGCCTCCTTACAGAGCTGTTTTCTGAGCCATAAAGAATTAGCTGGCACTATGTTCTTCTGATGCCAACAATCCTCGTACCTTCCAGGTGAATTATGTTGGGGCAGGAGACATGCTTTCTAGCTCATAATGACACCTCCTGCTTCATGACACGCTTGGTCTGTTGACCTTCAGTACATGGCCAGGCGGTGGCCTGCAGCGTGGTGTACTGGGAGGGGCACACAGAACTTAGCTTTCACGTGGTTGGAAGAACTTACCGACATGATGTCTGTGAAGGCAGCCCAGAGTCTGGTCCAGTTACGTGCTTGAGAAATGCAGACTTTCTTGACGCTTCTCAGCACTCAGCGCCATATTCAGTCATAAAGTCTTGATAATTCCCAAGAGTTGTGTCAATTTGAGTGAGCGATTCCCTCTCTCCCAGCCTTTTCATCTAGAGACAGAATCCCCTGAAGCCCGGGCCAGGCAGAAACACAAGCATGGGTCCTCCAGGACGCATCTCCCCTCTTATTGTCTAAAAGCCTCTCTAGCACCACTCCTGCCTGCGCGGGCCTGATGCACAGGAGAGAAGGTAAGTCCTGAACACGGAGCGCTTTGGAGGCCTACGTGTGAGGTGTGACATGATTCAGTAAGGAGAGACTTTTGCTCTGAAAAAATTATTTCCCGGAGGGGAAAAGAGACTATTGCAAGAAGGAGAGCACTTTGCTGGTAAGATCTGCTAACACCTCCCTTTCTTCCACAAAGAGAGGAGTAGACAAAGCTAGAAAGGACAGAGGTGGGGGAGCGAGCTGAATGAGAGAAGCACGACTGACCAGCGGATCTGGGACTGTGAGGCCAGTCTCTTCTCAGGAAGGATAAGCCTGTTAAGGGGAGTCCCTTGGCCAAAGTTCAGGGGTTGGGAAGAGGAGAAAAGTTTCACTAATGTTTGGTCAACAAGCATTTTGTTCTAATGAATGCCTGGGAACAAGTTAAGCTCATCATATGAGGTGGAGACTGGGAATTTGGAGGTTCGGCACCCACACTCGCGTGGGAAAGCCAAGGGGCATCCATGAGTCATTCCCAAGAAGGGGGTCCTTGCTGCTTCCTGGAACACAGAGAGTGGGCCTGGTCTCTAGCCATCACTTTCTCCTAGAATCCTAAGCTACAGGGCTGGGTAAAGTCCAACACTATGAGGGTCGAGACAGCACATGCCAGGAAGACCAGATCCAGGGGAGAGACAACGGCCAAGCTCTGGGAGTCAAGTCCTGCAGTCTCCCCAATCCAGGGCTCCCCCTCCGCTCCCCGGGGAACGCAGGGGGCAGGCAAGTCATTGCCCCTCCAGACAGATGCCAAGCCTGCCGGAAATGATCACGGGGCCGCCGCAGCAGCAGTCACGCTCACAAAGACGACAACTCCATTTCTCCTTTTCATATCAATTGGCAGAAATTATCTTTATTAGAAAAATGAAATTTTCCGGTATTTACATTTGTACACCATATGACTGGGCACTTCTGTTGCCTCGAGTTATATACATATCAGTTTGCACACACATTTCAAACCCCATTCCTTAAAACAGTGGATATCACGTTGAACAGAAATAAAAGACATACTACAAGAAGACGACCATAGTATATACTTTCTCTATCATAGAAAGGTGTTAAGCAAACGTGTAATTCTGTAGCTATGCTTGGAAATATTTAATACAGTTATCAGCACTTCTTCATGCAGTGGATTAAAACATGACAGGTATAAACTGCTGCGATTGGTAAGTGAACACCTATTCCCAAATGAAAACCGTAAGCAGAGCACACAGCTTGCTTTGGACTTCACCGTACAAGACATCAAGCCGGTTCTGATGTGGGTTTTGGACTGTGTTGGGATGTAGCTGTGAATGGAGACTCTGCAGATGGTGTTCAGTCCCACCCATGCTGGGTTGAAAATGGACTCAGACCTTGGAAGCTGCTTAATTCGGTTACTTTCTTGTGAGCAATGACCAGCTTGTGTTTTGTGCAATATGTCTTCTAACGCGAGTGAAAAATGAATAGTTTGCCCCTTTTTCTGTCTGAGAAGGCCATTTGTTATTATTTTTATGGTCTACTTCTTATTCAAGCTACCGATGAGCTCGCCTAATCCTTTCTGAATAGTCAACTGGAAATATATATACTATACATCAACACATACGCACAAACATTCTAGGGTGATAAATTACAGTGAATGCTACTGACTAGAGAATTTGGCAAGTATATGCTTTTCAAATTTGTTTTGGCAGGGGAGCAAATAAGATTAGGAGTCCGAGTTAAAAACAATTGATAAAGAAATCTTTGGGGGATCCTCAGCCCTGGGAGGCAGCTGAGTCACATCTAGCCATGGAATTAATTGTATCGTGTCCATTACTGAATTGTCAATGAAAATGTTATTCTTGATCTTGCCTCTTATTTGGAAAAAATAAAAGGCAATGGACATCGTTTTCCAGTGAAAAATTTGGGAAACATGAATGCTACAAGTTTCACTTTCATCTTCCCAAATCCATCAGAGTTTTTAGATGATCACCTTGGCTTTGACCAAAATGGTTGTTTGAATCTTTAATTTTGAGACGGGGACATTTCCTTAGTGGCCGTAGCTCCAGAGCTAGCTACAAACCTAATAAACTCAAGATTAAAAAAAAAAATAGGTTTAAAAAGTCAATACCACTCATTTATTTGAATTAGCTTAACTGAGGATAGAAATAATTCAATAAGCCTTAAATGGCTAATGTAAAAACCTCAATTGGATTCTAAAGGCTATGATTGTTTTTCATGGAAAAACTGACAATGTTTTTATATTTCGGGACCTTCACTATTTGCTCAGCTATCAATAGTCTTTGATTTGAGCCCTTTATACGCTTGAAACAGCAAAATGTCAGATCAATGAGAAGCATTTAAAATGCCAAAGACAAACTTATGTTTGTTGGAGAACAATTAACCTTATCAATTTAAAAGGCAGCTGTGGTATTGGCTACGTGTTATGTTAATATCCTTTTGAAGGTTCATCTGAAATCCTTCCCAAAGGTGTGAGAAAGAATTAACCGGAAGAGGTTATGACCTAGGGCTACCACTAATGAGGAATGTTCTAGAATTGAAAAAAAAAAAAAGAAAGAAAACACCCTGAAAAGTCATTGTTTGCTGTTTCACAGATGTGGTACAAAACGGGGATTTTTGGGTGATGATCTCACTTGTCTTGTTTGTTTCTGCATACTGCTGACACTTAGAGGAAGTTAATCTGAGAAATGACTCCATTTTAAACCATTTGGTTCCGGCTCCCCGGGGAGTTGAATACTTAGAAATATGGTCCCAGAGCAGAAAGACTATGGCCAATTTGTTCTTTAGAGTGTTCCAGTCTCCGCTCAGCTTAACATCCCTGGGAAAAGGTTGCACACCCAACAACAGGGTTGCAAAACAGCCATTAAGTAAGAATCTTTCTGTCTTGAGAGACCTTTTACTGCCAGCTTGAAAGATGTTATTGGCTAGAGAATTTCTCAGCGATGGGGACAAGAATGTTTATGTTAGGTTAATTGACCCTCCGGAAGGATAGATTCACAGAAGCTTCCAGAAAAACACTCCCTCAAATCCCAGCTCGGTTTCCTCAACAAAAAAGTGGACCTAAAGGGCCTGTCCCACCCCCGGCAAATATAAATGCCAGGAGAGGGAAGTCCACAGAGGGAAAGGAACAGATAGTTCCAGAAAGGAACATGTGGACTCAAGGCGGTTGCCCGCCCCGAGAGCAAGTGCTGCATCTCTGGGGCTCCCGGAAAGCCTAGTGGAAGTGTTCCAGTTCAACGCGCTTTCATTTAATGAAACAAACTGAACAAGCATCCCGTGACTCAGTAGTTATCTTGGAAGAGTGACCAGGAAAAGTATCTCTAAGATGATTTGGCAAAAAGAAAACAAACAAAAACCACGACAGCCCAAGAAGGGGAAAAAGAAAAATCTTAAGAGCTGGTCCTCAGTATGCTGACTACAACTGACTGGCTATCACTGATGTACAAGCTGTACTTCCGGTCACAACCGCAAATCTCATTCTGTCTGCTTGGCATCGATGACCAGACACGGAGACGGACTAGAAGGGACAGTCACTTTCAAATAACATGGCCTTTCTAAAGATGAAGCACAATGTCTAGAGGGCTTTCGTGGGGGCTCACAAGGCAAGGCGTGTGCACGGGCATACTCTTTGCATATGGTTGAATGGAATTAGCCCTGATGTCTATGGAGAAAAAGAAGCGAGATTAGAAAGGGGATATTTAAAATTAGGCACATGCTAAATAGAGAAAATAACTCCCCGAGAACCAAAGAAGGAGCTGCTGAGTGCAAGCCTGCAGGGGAGGGACACAGACGGCATTCAAGTCTCAGAAGGGACCATGAACAGAAGTGAGATCCCCAGGAGTTCTCAGTGCACCCCAAACCAGACGACCAGGGTAGGGCTCTAGCAAACATCCGCGCATGGAGGCTGGAACTCAAGAGAGAGCCCCGGGGACCTCACAGCAGCCTCCTTCTTTTTCTCACTTCTATTCTGACCTCCCTGGAGGAGATCAGGCACTTCAAGAAAATGCCTCTAACATTCGGGATTTGGTTTGTGGCAAGTTCTTGTTGCTGATGAGGCTGAGACCAACCTGAGCCTCAGTTTCCTTATCTGTAAAATGGGGCAACCAAAGTGACATCTGAGGTTATTTTGAGAATCACATTCTAGAATTGGCCTAGAATATAGTCTACACTTTGATATTTCCAAATTCGGGTGCTGATAAAGGTGCTTATTCTTTGTGATAAACAAAGAATCTAACATCCCAGCAATGCACAGGATAGGCTGGACAGAAGAGAAACGTCTCTCTGTCCATCCCACCATCTCCCTGAAACACACCTTGATCCCCGTGACCATTGCCTCGCCCCATTTTCTCTCTAGGGAACCAGATGCGTTCTCTTTTACCAGCCACAACAGCAGGCACTTGGGACTAACAAGGAATGCTCCCTACCCCTTCCCTGATACAGTTGTACCCTGAACTATCATAAATATTCTTCACAAGTCAAAAACAAAACCAAACAAAAAAGCTGTCAGGAAATTGTCTTTTTACATCACAGTCTATTTTCTTACCCTTTTAGGATTTTTTTCCCCCAACCTTTTCTCGAAGCCCATGTCATATAGCAGAGCTGGAGGGCAGGATGACTTGGCAAGGGCTGGAGAACTGAGTGGGACCAGATCCAAGCCTGCCTGAGCGCAAGTGTCCAAGGGCAAGTCTGCTGGCCTGTCTAGAGGCCCTGAGTACCTCCTTCCAAGGTTAAAACAATCAAGGGCATTTCCTGGCGCATCAACTATATTCTCTGAAGATGCCACCAGGTCCAGGGGAGGGTTTCTGTTTGTTTGAGCATGGAACCAGATGCATTTTTATTTTTGGTGAAAACTTGATCGTTTCTGGTTTTTACAGTGAGTCTGCGTGTGCATTTCATGGGTCCCGGGTTATCTTTTGTATTAGGGAACTGAATTTCTAGACCGAAAGCAACTTATGGGAAGAGACTATATTTTCTACTCCCCTCGTCTCTCCCCAGTCCCCAGCTGACCTTAGAAGGAGGTGGATACTCAGTCCTTTTTCATTCTTGGTTCAAGAGAAATAGAACTCTGTTATCTGAAGGATCACTGCCGTCTTTCATCTTTGGTTTGAGGTTTTAAACTATATCCCTTGTTGATTCTTCCCGGGGGGTAGGTCCCTGAAAAAGGTTCTCTCCAGGGCTCTGATGCGGCAGCATGGGGGAGCTCAAAGGAAAGCCAGATTCAAAGAGGGGACGCAGGGGTCTGCATGAGGCATAAGGCAAAAAGGCCAGTCAGTCCTAGAGCCTCTCTGGCTCTTATCCCAGAGGTGCCTGGGAGAGAGCTCTTGAGAGAAAGCTAGAAATGAGTCAGCCTGGCAAAGGGAAGAAAGACAGGCCAGGATGTCCTGGATTCGAGATCTGGTTCTCATACCATCGGCCTGACAATCGTCCACAGATTATCGCCCCTTTGGAAGCTTTTTCTCCTCTTCCTTCCCTTCCCCTCAACTCTGTAAGTTCTGTTTTGCTAAGACCCTTCTGAGCAGGCACCTTCAGCTGGCACCATAGGGGAAGAAGTTCTAGGCCAAGTGGTAACAGAGGATAAGGAATTTAACCAGGAGCTACGCCCAGCGATGGGTGAAGAGAATTCACAAACATACTCCTATCGGGACAGTCTTCAGAAGCCAACGTGAGCAGAAGCGATTCCACACCCTTAACCCCAGATTCCTTTAAAGAAGAGGCTAAGAACACCCAAATCCCACTTGGACTCTGTCATCCTCCTTAGAACTGAGAGTTTTTAAAAAAATAGTGCCTTCTCTACATAAATATCATCCCATCAATCACCAGAATGGGTTTTCCATGTGTTAATACCATCACCACCATTTAATTTTTAACATAAACTTTACATTATGTACAATTTTATTGGAATAATACACTTACGTGTGAATTATAGAAATCAAGCATGTATATTATATACACGTGTACACGAGCAATTATATTCACAGGATAAGTGCGTTCGGTCATCTCCAGTCTATGTCAGTGGCCAGCTGACCTCATCTGAGACGATCAGAGATGAACACGGCACAATGGAAAAGGGTCGAATGGCAAAGGGCAACTGGGTGGCGGGAGAACTTTCCAGGGCTGGGCCCCACAGAACCCTCCATCAGCTCTTTCAATGCTGTTGACCAAAAGAAGCGGGGGCAAACGGAAAGGCTGATTTTGTCTCAAGTGAAAAGAAACATGGCTTTTGGAATGAAAACTGCCTTCCTGCAGAACCCTTAATTCCCATTAAATACCAAGCGATGAGTCTGACAGTCAGCTTCCACCTACTCCTTGGCGTCTTCCTGGGTGTCTACCACGGCCAAGGTCCATTCAAAAGAACTCTACTTCCAAAACGACTCCTGTCCCCTTTCCAAGGGCTCAGCACAACAACTATGCCCAAAGGAACATTCCGGGGCTGTGCATCAAGTGAACAGTTACAGGCAGCTCTTCTGAAAGGAAAGGTATTTAGGTTTCTCAAATTACGATTTATTTAGGTCTTAAACCGCAAGGGATTTCAGCGCAAGGAATTTATTTATACGACAACTGATTATTAAAACTGCACTTTTTAGGTTTAAAGGAGATAAATTTTTAATCACCATTTAATTAACACCAACTTTTTTTTTTTTTTCCGTTCATTTTCATTAGCGATTCCATTTGCAAAGAATTCAGGGCATTTGTCATTTCCTGAGAAGGGTGCAGAATATTAAGTACACATCAGTGGTAGACATATCAAATAGAATAAACAATGTGCAACTCTGTCTGCCGTGGATCTTTTGACTAATTAACTGCCTTGGCTAGAATCCCATTTAACTGAAACTATTTCATTTGTAAACAAGGTGTAATTTTCTTCTTTGCCCCCTGAAAATAAGTGTGAATTGATTTGACTGATTTTGCTGCGATGGGTGAATTTTAATGCTTTCATCAGAAAAGCTAAGCATGAAAACTTCTCAGGCACCCTCCAAAGTAGGGATGAGAACACCAAGTATCATGGATGAGAGGCACAGCCAGGCGCTGGCTGAACGATGCAGTGAGATTTGCAGATGAGAGATGGCAGGGAGGAGTCGTGGAAGCCTCTTACCGCCTGCAGAAAACTGAGCCATGCGAGGTTGGCCTTCCTAGAGAACCAGGAGTTGCCTACGGACATGCACGTGTAAGGACAAGAACCTTATTCCAGAAAAACCAAGGCGTCCCAGGGTGGAATTCATGCCTGAAAAGACTCTCCTCTTAGGTGGAATATTTTAAGTTGGCGTGTGTGCTGTTACCTGTGGACACTGACAAGGAGCCTCTGGGTTCAGCTGGGCCAGCCCAGTCCTTCTCAAGCGGAAGAAACCATTTAGCCTTAATGAAATATCATCCCAGGTGCCAGGTCTCACTTAAGTGACGATCGGGCACAAATTTGGGTTTGGAGATTCTGGCTCCTTGGCATCTGCAAATCTCAGATGTTAGAGCTGGGATGTGTCAGAGGGGGCCGTGTCAGGGACCCTGGTTCAGGGCCTGTCCTGGTTCAGGGCCTGTCCTGTCCCCTCCCGTCCTGGAGCTGCAGTCACTGCCAGATGGATTTTCCTGATACTGAGTCTCCAAGAACAGAACCGACTGGACCACTTAATTGACCAGCCAGTTTTTGGTCAATGCTCTTATGTTTGGGGTCATTCCAATCAAGAGTCAGAGAAATTATGCACTTTCTATACTTAGCAGCCAATTCTGATGACTTATTTTAAAGTTCACTTTATGTGTGAAAGGAAGAATTTTTTTCACTGCAATTCTGCTCGTTCTTCTCAAAGCCGTCTTTTTGGTTTCTTTATCTAGAGAAGTCTGAGGTTAGCAGCAGAAATGAAGTTGTTATTAGAAGGAGACTTTTTGATCTATGGAATCGTTCCAAATGTAACTCCGCTCTCCCTGGAGCTCTGTCATATTTGGCAGCCCCCTGGGTTTTGAGGACACCAGAAGGGAACAGAATGCCTCTGTGGATGGATGATGTAACATTGCTCTGTATTCTGGGGGGGACTCTGTAACCCATTTCATGTTAAGACAGCCAGTCTTGTGAGGACAGGGAGGTGATCCTGGCTGCAGGGCCAGAGGTCTGGAAGGAAACCCAATGAACGGAAGGGTCAAGGGCAAGACCTTCTGCAAGATGGTACAGTCACAGGTGTGCCTATGCTTGCGCATCAGGGTCACTCTCCCAGCCCTTCTCTCTAGGCTCCTCGATTGTTGAGTCTTGGGTCATGGATGATACAACCGCCAAGAAATAAAATGCCATGTTCAAGTATGTTGTTGTCAGAGCCTGGGTGGCCCCTACTGCCTAGGGCCTCAGGGAAGGGTTCCTCCCCGCTGCTGCCCTCTGACAATCCACTGCCAACTGTGAAATTTATTGCAACTACTTTTCATCAGTCTAGAAATTTTTGAGGTCGGGGACCCCTATCCCAAAGATGGAGCCATTCATCTTTCGGACCCTCAAGCTCTAAGAGAATTACTCCTGGCACCTGCCCCGGTGCAGGAAAGCACGATCTACAAGACAGAAATGCAGCAGGAATCAAAGGAAGATGATAACTCTTCAACCTGCCTCGCTGGGCCCTTCAAGAACCAAAGGAAATCGGAAAAGGTCAGGTTGGTCTGGGGCTGGGTGAGGGTTTCTGTCGCATTCCCTGTGCAGACGCCTCAGGAACTCGGCGAAGACTGACAGCGAGTTATCCCAAGTATTCCCAGAACATACACTAATTACTAGATTAGAACTACATAAAATATTTAATGAATGTTGTTTGTGAGCGTTATAATAGCCAATTTGTAAATTAGAAAGTTCTGTTCTGATAAAACACCATAATAGATGCCTTTGTCTGGGGGGACCCCTTGCAGAAGCTCAGTGCTTAGAGCTGGGCGGGCAGAGTGCGTCCTCCCCAGTTTCTAAAAACTGAGCATCATTTCGTGTCTTATTATCCACAGGTTGGATTCGAATAAGAGGGGGTGAGCGTGAGAGACTCAGGAATGACAAATGCTTTGAGGAATTTCCCATGTGTTTCCGTTGGTGCTGGTGAGACCGTTGGGCTCCAATAGAACGAATATTTCAGAAGAGGAGAAATCACTTGTCGTACTAAAGTTTATCCACAATTTGGAGGATGCTCAGGTGGACGCCTGAGTGTCTCTCATGTTTTGAAGGCTATTGATTCGCCAGGGCTGGGGTGGAAAGGAGCGTCCGACTGAACTGCGTGACACGAAGGAAGAGAAGCTGAAGCCCGCGCTCGCCTTCAGCGGACGGATGGCTTTGTTCTGGTCACAGGCCACGGGACACACGGGGCTGCCGGCGCCTGCCACCACGCCAGCCCCTCGGGACGGCAACGCACAGTCACTAGACGCACCACGGCTGTGTACGGACCGCACACGTGACGGTTACTCTGGGACGGGAGGGGTAACAGATACTATACAACCCTGAGTCATCACCAGAAGGGGGAGATGCAAACTTACGTACACGGGCATCTGCGGGATACAGGACAGCGGCCGCTGTGTCGCAGGTGCACACTGAGGTACCGAGGACACACATGTGCTCGCTCACGCAGCTCTGAACGAGACCACCGAAGCCGAGGGGGGGGCGCGTCTGTGACACACGCACGTGGACATCCGGAGAGGCTCTCGCAGCTCTCCGAGCGACGGCCCTCTGGGCCTCTTCCTTCAGATACGTCTTGGGAATGGACCGGGATGAGGGGAGCGCAGTGACCACGTACACACTGACTCGCTATTCTCTGGGGGCGGCGGGGGGAGCCTGGAGTTCTGGGGTGGGGCGGGGCTGGGATGGAAGGCATAACAACAAAGCCGCGACCTCCTATTCTCTTGCACATGTCAATCTCGCCACGGCGCAGATGCATTCTTAACTGCGTCGCCGTGTCTGTGTCGGGTTACATGCATACCATATTGCTTATTCTCTAGTAGAGGGACCGTTAGGCGTTTCTGATGAGGAACTTACATGGTGGGCTGGTCTCAATGGAATCTGGAATATAGGAAAGCATACCATCGCCATTGGCATCCGGGGCATCGTTATTGCCAACATACCCGGCGGGCCTGTCCAGGAGACCTGCCCTCTCGCTTGTGTGTGGTTGTGTTTTAATTTTTTGGTTAAGGACTCACCTGCCTGGTCTCTGCTGTGCTCAGCACACACCTCTCAAGATTCCTTGAGTGGAAGACGATGGCGTGGAGCCATGTGCAAAAGAACCAACAGAAAAATACCTTCCTATGTCCGCCTCCTGCTCACAGGGTACTACTGGACACCCAACATCTACCCTCCGGAACGGTGGCCATTACGGATGTTTCCCTATAGGTAAAACGTGAGTGGAAGGTTTTAAACATCAGATTCAATACTAGGCATTTTCTTGTACACACGTCTATTGCTGCAGGAGTTTAAAACCCTGGGGGTCGAGTACATATTATTCTTATTTGCAGCATAAGGCATAACATGCTCCGAAATGTACACGTCGTTGTGGCCTCTACTGTCCCTGGAACAGTACGAGGCCGTGGACCTCAAGGACGACCGCAGGTAGCTGTCGCTCACCGCCTGGGACGGCAGCGAGTGTTTGTAAGGGTCCGAGGGGCATCTCCCGATGACCAGGCGGTGGTCGTCCCCGTAGGCGTGAAGGAAAGGGTTGTCGGAGGTGTGGTCGGGCAAGAGAGACTTGCTCCGCTTGCTGTCCTCCAGGCCCTGGGGGAACAGGGAGCTTTTGTTCCCCAAGAGTTTGCTTGAGGGGACGCTAAAGAGACTCCCGTACAGATTCCCCTCCAGCAGCCGCTCCCTGTCCTTGAGGCTGATGCTGCGGGAGGGCCTGCTGAGGTCTGTCTCCCTGGGCTTGTCAAGGATGTTGTCGTACGAGTGCTGGCGGCTGATCCTCAGCTTGTTCTTTGGCAGCTGGAGGGCGTTGTTCTGCGCCCAGTCCTGCTGGTACACGTCCTCCTGGGAGGCCGGGTTCCCTGTCTCCTGCAGCATCTGGTCCTCGTCGATGTCGTAGAGGTTCCCCATCCGCAGGCAGGCGTCGCACTTGAAGGGGGACCGCATGGTGAAGTGGCCGGCGTAGGTGGGGAGGTTGGACAGGCAGCTCCTGCAGTGCGTGGAGCCCTGCCGGTAGCGGTCGCTGCCCTCGCTGTGCGGGGAGCTCTTGTCCTTCAAGGTGAAGTGCTTGGTGTAGAACTTGTACTGGTCGTTGTTGGGGAGCGCGTCTTCGTTGTGCAGGGGGTTCCTGTTGGTGGGCAGCGTGGAGTCCCCTTTGCGGAAGCTCTCACCGGGGTCCTGGTAGGGGTCGGGGAAGTCCGCGTTCTCCGGAATGGCCATGTTTTCCACAAACTGGGGCGGGTCTAGGTGGAAACCGGGCTCCTTCTCACCGTCGATGGTGTAGATCTTGTCCCGGGGGGAGCTGGCTTTGGGCTTCAGGTAGGAGCGCTCGACCTCGCTGCTGCTGTCCTTGGGGGGCTTGGTGGCCATGGACCTGCGGAAGTTGTCCTTGGTCTTGTGGTTCTTGTTGCTGCCGGGGTCCCTGTGGCCCGTGGCCCGGCTGGAGGCTTCGGAAATGTCGGAGTGGGCCACCTCCTCGGGAAGGTACCGGGGGCTTTTGAGGGAGTGGGTCCTGTTCTCCACGGCTCCCTCGTCCCTCTGCGAGACCGGGTTCTGGGTCAGCGAATCTTGGCGGAGCGATTCCATGGATTTCTTCCAGAGCTGCCGGGGCCTGGAGTTGCCTTTGGATTCCGTGCTCACGGCCACCTCCACCGTGTTTGGGTTGGATTCGTTGAGCGTGAGAGGGTGCTGTCCCTGGAACACATAGTTGTTGAGGTTATCCTTGTGCCTGTTGGCCACAAACGTCTGGAGCTCATTCATGTTGTCCCCAAAAATGCTGTCTTTGCCCTGGAAGGACCTGTTGTCCGCATATATCAAGTTGCCCTTGTCGGAAGCCATGTCCACCAGGAGGGAGCCTCTTTGGATGAAGTCAGCAGCCCTTTTGGGGGAATCCATCCTGGAGGAGTTCATGTTGGACATGTTTTTGGCTGACCGGAGGAGCTTTAGCATGTTGCTCTGTGACCCGGTCAGGTTGAAGTCTGGAGACTTCTTCTTGTCCTCGATGTGCACTCCGTGGATGCAGCTGTAAATGCCCTGTGGGGAGGAACAGACACAGCAAGAGACATCAGCGGCAGCCAGCATGGGGGACACGTCACACCTGCAGAGTGAGACATGTCCTCCTCCTCGGCGCCCTGCAGAAGCAGTGCTATCCCGGCCAGGGTCCCGGCAGCATTTCTCAAATGCATGAGACCACCCATCGGGCCCGGCGGGGCCCCTCTGGTTCAGGATCACCTGACTATGGCAAGCGGTCACACCTGGAGTCTGAGGAAATCTCTCAGCTAATGCTCATGCAACCGTGAGAGTCTCAGGGGCTTCAAATTGGGATGGAGGATATTTAATTGACTGTCCCAACACCCGACTCAGGCTTTTGTTAAACTTTCTCATGATTATCTTTGGATTGTGGATACCAGGCTGTTGTCAGCACAGAAGGTCCATCCATGATTAATTCTCCAGGGTGGGGGGTGTCAGCCCTACCCACACCCTGAAGCTACCGATTGAGACAGGAGTCCCAAGAAAGGCAATCAGAATGTGTCTCCTGAGCGGGCAGTCTAGGGGTAGCATGACATCCACGCAGGGCCGTGGAGGAGCCGACATGGATGCTGGGATAGGAGGAGCAGGTTAAGATGCCAGTCTGGCCACCCTCTGAAGACTTGTACCTGCGAAAGGAGTTGTCACAGGGGAAAGCAGAAGTCAGGGGGGTAGAGACCCCATATGGCCTGAGCCTCTGAGTAAGCCTCTTGGACTTTTACTCACTGCACTCCCCACGGTAGTGCGCATGTGCTTGTTGGACAAAGCTAGAGCTGAGCTTCAGATCCCAGGAGCCCTGGCGCGCCCTGACTCAGTGATGCTCACTTAAGCCTGTAGTCCCCCCGCATGCAGCTTCCTCCACAGGCTGCCCCCTGCTGGGCAGCTGAAGGGGACCCACTTGTTTCAAGGAAACCAGGTGAAGCTGGAAAGGTCCCATCCTAAGCCAGGGCCTCAGTTTCCCCATCTGTAGGTTGGGGGGTGAGCATATTGCCCTTCTAAGGGGTTGTGAGGGTGACAGAGTCACCCTCTGTGTGGGTGTGACCTTGCGTTTGTCGAAACACAGGTTCTTGCCTTGGGCATCCCCACTACGTGTTTGTCAGAGAAAACGATGGTGTGCGCACAGTGGGGACGCCTGTCCTCTGTGCTGCGTGAGCGTGGACCAGCTTTAGAGGTCCAGGAGCCCCGCTATGCGCAGCACGGGGGCTGGTCTACCCTGAGTGCCAAGAAACGCTCGCTCTGTTCATACACACCAGGTTGCATCTATTTTAAACCACAAATGCTATCTGGGGAGAAGGAGGGCCAGCGCTCAAGGAGGGGTGAGGGCAGCAGGAGTCCCGGGAGGGCAGGTGCACCTCTCCCCGAGGGCAGGAGGCTGGTGTTCGACAGCAATGCCTGTCCTGCATGCTCAGGCCCCCCCACTCCCATCCCTCGGGGTGCTGGGGACTGCAGGGAGGCACTTAGCTCCTTCTCATCCTGTGGATCCTGTCAGGCCGCCACATAGCTCAGGCCGAGGGCACAGTCCCCCAGAACAGGCAGGACTCACGAGTAAGCACAGCAGTGCCCGCTGCCCCACATCACCCCCCAGTCACTTGGATATGAAAAACCTTTAGGAACTGGGGAAGAGAATTAGCTTAAAGTTGGCATAATACCTAGTTATCTGCACGCACGTGGTTATGTTTAAGCAATCTGTGTGTTTAGATGCCATCAAGCTAATTAGGAAATATATATTTGCACAGAATCCCGGCTTACGGCGCCATTAAGCGGAGAAAATAAACCTTCCTCACGCAGCTAATGTGCGTCTTCTGAATCTCCCAAGTTCTTAAGATCACCAAATGCTAAGAATACACAAATTCCTTTCCAAAGGGCTATTTGGTTTTCCCAGTAAACTTGGGCAAGTAAAATGAGGTGTTTGCCACCAAATACAAACGTTGCAAGTCCTCCTTCAATACGCTTTTGGAGTGAGCAGGCAATGCCGGGGGCTTGGGGCAGGGGCGGTGGGTGACCCAGGCGGCTGGCGGGGCGCCTGCTCCCTGCACGCCCGCGGGCTCCACCCTGGAAGTGCCTCCCGTGACCGCTCTCACGCGGGGCTCACGTCACGCCTGCATTTTCCCAGAGACGCCCGAGCGGGCGCCCGCTGGCGACAGTCTCGGCTTGCGGTTGCTGGGGGTGTCCTGGGCGTGTCCCTGCCTGTCTCAGTCCAGCTGTGCCACGCTGCACGGCTCTGCCGTCCTACCCGGCCCCTTGTGCAGAGGGTGGCGTGGGGGCTGTGCCGGCGGCCGCTGTGTGCCTGGAGCCTGCACGGGGGCAGCGCGTCTGGTGCTGACGATAGAGCCACAGACTGGCCGTGCTTGGCCCCCGGGGCGCTTGGTGGGGCATCGCGTGTGTGTTTTTACGTGGGGTGAGTCATGGACGTTCATGCATCAAAAGATTTCACATCAAATCAGATGGCCCCGCTGTTGTCCAGGCGCTGGAGACCTGCTGCTGTGGGCCCGACATTCCTGCATTCTCTGCAGGAGGGAAGGGTGACCACCGCCCTTGGCGTGGTAAGCAGCAACCGGCTTGCCTCAGCCCCTCACCTTGGCGCCCAGATTCAGTTGCCTTTTTCCGTCTCCCCTGCGCTGCTTCCTCACGCCCAGCCGGCTGCGCCCACTCACACCTCCCCGTGCTGGCTTCCACAGCCCCGGGGGTGGCGACCCCCACCTCCAGCAGGCGCAGGACTTGGAGACCCTCCCAAGAATCCCAAGAGGGGCTGGCGAGTAAGAGAGGGGGTGCGGGCCCCGCCCAGGGGTGAGGGTCCCCACTCCCCCTGTGTTTTCCTGCATCAGCCGCCGAGGTACTGACCCTGCTGATGGAGAAGAGCAGGCCCGGGCGGTCGGAGCACACGCCCGTGAAGCAGAAGCGCAGCTTCCAGTAGAAGAGGTGCTCCCAGATGAAGGTGATGAGGCTGAGCGCCATGGCGGCCGCCAGCATGTAGAACACGCCCGCCATGTTGTCGATGTCCAGCTGGCTGCTCATCACCTCGTTCTTCTCGTTGTGGCAGATGCCCGTGAGCCACAGGGTCTCCAGCTCCTCCATCTCACCTGCACGAGAGACAAGAGGCACCGTGGGCAGGGGCAGGGCGCTGCAGCGGGCCGGGACCTGCCGCTGGGACAGCGACCCACAGGGCTTAAGGCGAGTTCCCGAGCCCCCTTCTCTACAGTCACGCACTTGGTGAGTGAAGCTATGAGAAGCAGTAGCTCCCTAGTTCCCTCTGTAGGAGGATGAGAGAGGTCACAGAGAGGATTGGGTACAGTCCTACAGTCCCTGTGTTATTAAATTTTTGGTCTCTATCACTCTCGCTGCCCACTGTCCCATCACACCCCAAGTCTGGGGCAGGACGTGGGGTACATGGGCAGCCACAGTGGAAAGGCTTCACCACTAGGAGCTTCGGGACTCGGGAGTCTCGGTTTTCCTGTCTGTGAAATGGGTGTGATGGGGATGTATCCTGGAGTCGTGCTGCGGGTCAAAGGAACTCACCTAGACAGAACTTCCCACCTGGCCCCTGTAACTGGCAGCCTGCACGGGATTACCATGAAGAAAAGCCCCAGTCCAGTGCCTGGCATGTGGTGGCCCTCAAAGATGTTCGTTTCTTTTTTTCCTTCCCTTTAGAATTTCCCGGAGGATTCCAAAAGCCACCCACGAGCCGTGCACTTCAGGTACAAAGCATCATTGAAAAGAAGCATCTCAGCTGACTCTGACGGCGCTGTGCAAACTAAACGCCTCCCCACTTCTGCAGGCTGTTAAAGAGGCGGGTCAGGGGTTTGGTGGGGGGAGGCACCGGTGACATGATTTTCTCTCTTTTATGTGCATTTTATCCAGTTGCCATTTAGGAAAAAGTTCTCTGATCCAAATGTCTAGCAATTATACTAACTGTCTAGCAATTCACGAGACTACAGTACTCAGGCGATGATTCAGCCTTTAAAATTACCCTTCAAGAACAGGAGAAATCATGGAAGATACATACAAAGCTAAATGAAAAAGGAGACTACATCTATAGGTGATCATGGGGGTGTATGACCCTATAGAGATATGGCTGAGATTTTATATCTGTAGATATGCCTATCATTGAGCTGTATCGTCTGTTACATCGAAGATGGAGTAAGAGAATGCAGAGAAAAGGAAATAAAGTACTTCAAATATTTGATTCTCTTTTGAAGAGGTCATCAGAATTACTGCTTTCATATTGCTCTTTTAAGTTTTGAGAAGTTACTGTGTTGCTTTTGGTTTGTTTTCACTCTTGAATGATTGGGTAGAACATAGAACTTGAAGCTGACAATTATTTTTCCTTGAAGATGTTACAGTTTTCTCCTCTTTAGGCCGAGAGGCCGGCCGGCAGTGTAATTGGCATCACTTTCTATGCAATCTATGTTTTCTGTCATGGCTTTTGAGAGTTTCGTTTTGTCTTGGGTGCAGAACCTAAGTGTGGGTTTGTTTTATTTGTTCTGCTCTGGCTGCAGAGTGCTTGTTCTGTCTGATGACTCATAGCTTTAATTCTGGGGAAAAAAAAATCTCACCCACTGTCACTGTGAATATTAACTGTCCCCATCCTATCCTTAAAAAAAATGAATAGAGCTAATTTTGGGGGGTAGTTTTAGATTTACTGAAAAACTGAGCAGAAAGCAAGAATTCCCACCTACTCCCTCCCCCGACCCCTCTATTACATCTGGCATTCATGCCATCCATTCTTTATCATTTGTGAACCAACAGTGCTACGTGATGTCTGGAAAAGGCAAAACTGTAGAGATGGTTAGAAGATCACAGAAGCTCATGGTTTACATTGGGACTCGCTCTCTGTGCCGTGCAGGTGACAGGTTTTGGCAAACGCTCCATGGCACGTACCCACCGCACCAGAACCACACAGAATGACTTCACTGCTCTAAGATCCCCTGTGCCACCTACTCGCCTCTCCCACCCACCCCGATATGTGGCAGCTCCGGATCTTCTAACCATCTCTACAGTTTTGCCTTTTCCAGACATCATCCTAATGAACCACACACAGTCTCGCCGTGTTGCTTAACAACAGGGCCACGGGAGACCCACATCACAGGTTAGGCGACTTCCCCGTGTGCGAACATCACAGCGTGTGATGAACAAGCCTGCGTGGTGGGCCCGCGGCATGCCCGGGCTCCGGGGGGCTTGTCGGGACCAGTCGTCTCTGCTGTCTGTCATCGACCCACCAGCAGCCTTCCCGGCTTCCTTCGCGTTACAGTAGCATCGACGCTGCCTCTGTGTCTTCCCCTGGCGTGACAGCCCATTTCTTTTTATCGCCGAGCAGCACCGCGTTGCTCAGACACACAGCTTGTTGGCCGCTGACCCACTGAAGGACAGCTCGGTTCTTCCCAAGTGTTGGCAGCTATGAATAAAGGTGCTGTGAACATTCACGTGCAGGGAAGTTTTCAACTCCCTGGGGCAGACGCGGAGGCCCATCGCTGCTAGACTGCACGGTGGGGCCGTGTTCAGCTTTGCAGGAGACACCCCTGCCCTGCACAGTGGCGGGGCCCGCCGCGTCCCCCAGCAGCGAGCGAGCCAGCGGGAGTTCCTGTTGCTCCACGTCCTCGCCAGAGCATGCGTGTGCCGATGTCTAGGGCTTCAGCGAGGGGTGCGGTGACTCTCGTGGCCCTAATGTGCAGTTCCCTGAAGACACATGCCCCCTTCTCTGTTTCAATCTTCTGAAAATTTTGCTCGAGATATTTTGGACTTTCCCGTTCTAGCCTCCTGGTTATTAACTTGAATAGTTTTCCAGTCCTCGTCTCCCTGTGCTTCCATTAACGGGTTCCCGCAGATCTGTGTTAACAGCTCATTAACACTTCATTTATTCATTCATTAGTAATATTAAGCTTTATGATTTAATTTTAATCTGTTTTAATGGTGGCATTCCTCTGGCTCTTTTAAACTTCTGTCAGTTTTTTTTTTTTTATCATCATGTGCTGTTCTTTGATTTCTTCACCTTTTATACATTTAATAACGTCAAATGCAGACTTTCAGATTCATCTCTGCACCATCATGTTGGTCCTTGGGATTCTCATTCCTTGGTTTGTGGTGTGTGATGACTTTCATAGATCACCTCCTTGGAGCACTTGTAACTTCTGATTATGAGCCAGTCTCCAGCACTGCTGTCCTCTCCTTGGAGCCCATGGGGTCCCCAAGCACACTGGGCCTTAGACATATCCCTACAGCAGGTTCTGGGGTTGCTTCTGCTATGGGGCCAGTGGCTTTCCATGTGCCAGTTTTTGTATGAAATAAATAGGTACTGTAATCACCACACTGTTCAGGTTGTGCATGTGTAGAACTCTACACTCACTTGGGCTGTAATTTCTTGGCTTCAAATAGATGGCAAGCTCTCTTATACTTTCTTTGCTTTTCTAGGTTCCTTTTGAGGCTCACTGTCTCCTTGAAGGTTCCAGATTGACACAGTGGTGTCATTCTCACTGTGGTTACATAGCTCGGGGCCCCTGCGTGGATATCAAAGCCCCATCTTCCTGCCTTAGGCTGCTGCCCCTCACCGGATTGGTACTGTGGGACTGTCCCACCCCCTAAGGAATTCCTCAGTTTTGGCTGGGCGCTGTGTGCACATGCATTTAATCCTGCATGTCGATGCAACTGTGGCAAGGAGGGCACCCACATCATTCAGCCTTCCATTGCACCACAGCCTCTCACAGTCCTTGCGACATTACCATCTTTATGGCTGCAGATGGACGGAGGGTCCTAGACTTCCTGCCGCCCTGTGACAGTGCAGGGCCACAGCAATTCCGCCGTTCATGCAGGTGGCAGCCGCACCCACTCCGTTCACTGCATCTCTTGGTAGCACCATTTTCCCTTGTGCTTGATTTAATCTCGCATTGTTTCGCTCACCGTGGCTCCTAAGTGCACAGAATCCACTGCTAACGTCGCATTTGTACAATGAAATCCTCAGGCCACAACCCTGCTGTCAAGTAGCACAGAGCATGAATAACTTTTGTCATCAGGACTAAAAAGCGTGATCATCCACTGCCCAGATGCCTCTGGCTCTCTGCTTGGAGTCTGTGAGGACACAGATGTGGGTCTTCTCACCACATTTTCAACCCCCCAGCACATCTTCCTTTAGGATTTGTCCCCCAGAAAGCCAGGTTTGTAGCCTGGAACCAAGTCAGTCTGGCCACGAAACATCATCACCATGATCCCTTTCAAAGTTCCTTCCTCCGCTCTCTGCCCAAGCAGCAGCTCTCTCTGAGTAAGTCAACTCGGTAAACCAGACCTGCATCCCAGAAGGAGAGCAAATGCACATTTTTCAATACCAATTACAGCCTGTTCCAATCATTTTCCAGTTAATCATTTCCTGCCTCGTGGCCTTCTTCTACCAGTGTACTGGACTATAGTTCAAATACTTTCTTATTTCATTTTTAATTTACTCCAGTATACAATAATCTCCTTTGGGGACACTGGGGATTGTGGTTTATGGTTTTGATATTTCTCGTGGCCTGCAGCACATCGTCAGCACTGAATTCTTATTTTCTGTTTCTATCTCTGTTTCTTTCCTTACATGGCCAGGCTTAAATTAGGCAGCACTGCAAAAATGTTCAGATCTGTTTGCTGAGTTTCTCTTCCCTCTAAAGCAGAGCACAGGGGGAATGTGCAGCGAGCTTGAGACCGAAGGCTGGCGCGTGTGTGTCCTTGGCTTGGGTGAAGCAGCCGGTGCCACTGTTGTCAAGCAGCGGCTCTACAGTCTCATCCAGCTGTCAGTTTCTCCCATTACACAGAGGCCGTGATCTTTGTCAATGTGATCTCGGGAACTGGGGCTGGTAAATGGGACACTTAACGCTCCTTCCTGAAGCAGACTCATTCTTGCTGGGAAGACAAAAGCTAAACGCTCTCCTGGGAGGGAGGGTGCCTGGACAGCTTTGGGTTCGCAGCCAAGAGTGTGTTGTCTGGTCCCCACACCATACTGACAGCCCGCTCCCTCTATTTATTTCTCTAAGGAAAGGCAGTTCATGAGCATTTGAGATCGTCTTTGCATGCATGCAAGTTAGGTCTGTTTTGAAGTTCTTTCTAAATCTGTCTTCAG